ATGGCATTTCAGTTTTGTCTTCCAATAAATTTGTCCAAAATTATATCTAGTCCTGTCACTTCTTATTCATTATGTCTCTTCCAACTTACAGATATTATCTATAAAATATATCAACTTCTGCTACTACTAAAATTAGTAATTGCAAAATTGTGTTTTGAAAGTTATATTATTGCTAAATTTTGATTTACCAGTAATTCTACTTAATGCCTTATGAGCATATTGTATGGGGAAACTTTCATATAATCATTAAATGAACTAAATTTGTTTTAGGAACCTTGTTCAGCAGTCTTGGGATATGGAAAGAAAATTGACAAGTCCATTAAGAAAGGCCTTTATTGGCTACTGCATATTATTGCAAAAGACTTTGATGCCTTAAGTGAACGCATCCAAAAAGATACAACTGAACAGCGCGCTCTTGAGGAGCAAGAGAAACGAGAGAGGGCTGAGCGAGTGCGGAAATTACGAGAAGAAAGGTAAGTAGGTTGAATTTACAGCACAGAACATTTGAAGAGGGAAAAGGCAATTTTATGAATAATCTGTAAGTTTTGCCTATTTAATCTGTCTGGTCAGTTTTGTCTCTATATGAAGAAAAACATTAAGTAAATTTCTTATTTCTGTGGATCTTTCTGTACACAGTGTTGATATTTTTGTTTTGTTCTATGTAGTTTTGTTTGGTGGTGCTTGGAATCCAACCCAGGTTTTTGTGCACACTAGGCAAGTCCTACCACAGAGCCATAGTCTCTGCCCAAGTGATAAACTTTTGAAATTTTTGTGGGGCTGTTAGAGTAGTGACTGCTTCCCACATCTTTTAAATGCTTATCAGTCTGTAATGAGTAATTTCAGAGTAGTTTTCAAAGTATAGGGAAATGTTTTTCAGGCAACAGCTGGCAGGGATACATTTTTATTTGTCATGGCTGGGGCAGTGGAAGGGGCATGGGTGGTAGGAAGTCCAGCTGAGAGAATCCAGGGATGCTGGTAACCACTGTTTAATGCACAGAACAGCCTCAACAAAGGATTACTAGGTTCAATATGACAGCAATATAGAGAATGAGAAGCTGGTCTTTAGCTTCAAAATAGAGCGAGGCTGTTAAAGGATCCATTAGCTCAAAGTTCACCTTCATCACTAATTTTGTTAGAAAGTTGTGCTGTAGAGTTTTTAAAATATATTTTAAAGATAACACTGAAAGGACTCATTTAAACTAAATATACCAAATTGAAAAAAAAAAATGATTGCATAAATACTACTTCAAAAAGTGCCGAGATTTAATTGAGTTACATTTGATGCTTAATCTTAAATTAATCTTCCTTTTTTCACTTTTCATTACATGGTGGGGCAGGGGAAAGAATGAGAATGAGAGGGTTTTTAAGCGAGTTCTTAAGAACCTCCAAAGTTGCCTTTGATCTGCCTTCTGTGTAGTTTACCATAGTTGCCCCCCATTGGCCTCTTACTCTTGGGGCTTTGTGAGGCCCCCTTACATTGTGGAGGGAAGTCTTCTGGTGGTACCTTTCATTTAATTCAGAGCTAGGACCTAAATATTTCTAGAAATAACTTTTCACTTGCCATGTTCTGAGTTATATGATCGGGCCCTTTTTCTAGGTCTCTCCTGATATCAGAAACAGGGTGAATGGACTTAGTAGCTGCTGAAAGGTTTTAGCTTCTGTGAGAACTTTGTTGTTGTTTTAATCCTAGTATATGTTTTTATGATATAAAGGTCATTATAGCTAATCATTATGTAAAATACTTTTTGTGTATATATTTGTAAAAATAAAATATATGGCCACAGTTTTCTGAAAACACTTTTCCTCCAGCACAAAAATAAAAACATGAGGTAGAAGGCACAGCTAGCTCAGTGGGTAGTGCATGGGTAGCCTGCATGAATCCCAAATTTAATCCCCAGTGCCAAAAGAGGAAGAGGGAGGGTGGGAAGGAGGGAGAAAGGAAGATAGGCAACAGCAAACATGAAGTTGAATACAGGAAGTGTAGTATTAATCTATTTTTTCTTCTGGTCTTTTTGAGGCAGGGTCTCCCTGTAGCCCCAGCTGGCCTGGACCTCACTATGTAGACCACACTATGTAGTCCAGGCAGGCCTTGAACTCACAGAGATCCGTCTGCCTCTGCCTCCCAAATGCTGTGATTAAAGATGTGTGCCACCACGCCTGGCAGTATTAGTCATTTTTTAAAGGTCTCTTTCCTTTCCAGATCATCTTCTGCAAGGTGTTTCCAATGCTCAGTCTCCTCTGCTCACTTCCTAGACATGCCAGTTGTGGGAGAGAGCCACTACTGAAATTTGACTTCATGGATATAGACACATTGATACTAAGAGAAGAGTGGTTGAAAAACAATCTTTTGCTTTGTTAGGTTCAAACTAATTGGTTCAGACAGTTCTGTCTCTTAAACAGTAGAATATACTATTTTAACAGGAAAATAGGATATTGATATTATAAACTTGAAATTGTTGATGAACATTATATTTGCTCTACACATGCTCATTTACAGGGCATTCTCAGATGTCCTGCTTATTCTGGTCTCTGGACTAGCTTTATGAGATGACTGTTGTAGTCTATGTCTATAGGAAAGCTTAGACTCAGAAGTCCAGGTTTAAGGTCACAAGACTAGTAAAGTGAAAAATCTACAAAGCTTGGCTTCCTGCCTTCAGAATGAAAAGATAGATATTTTCATTGGAAGAAAAATGGATGAAACTAAAATTCATCCTGTTAAGTGAAGAAGGCTAAATATAAAAAGTTAAGAACTTTGTATTTTTAATTTGTGGGACCTTAAAATAGATAGGCAGGTAGGTAGATAGGTAGATAGATAGATAGATAGATAGTTTGTTTCTTTTTGATAGATAGATAGATAGATAGATAGATAGATAGATAGATAGATAGATAGATAAAGGATGATCCACCAAAAGTAAGAGGTTCCTGAGGAGGACTAGGAAAGAAATGGAAAACGGGGCAAGGCTAGAATGAAGGGTTCGTATGTTCCAAGCACATTACATGTGTGTATAGAAATCTCACAGCAAACCCCACTAATGTGTATTAATAATTATAACAAAAGAAATGATTCTCTAACCATCCTATAAGTAGAACATAACAAGGTTATGCTTATTACCATGACAATTATCAACTGTGTTCTGTGATGGAAATTATTTCAAAATGCTTTTTGTATTTGTTGACTTTCTCTATAGCCTAAAATACCTAATTTGGAAAATGTACCCTGTGCTGATGGCAAGAATGATTCTTAAACTAGTGATTTTTCTGTATTAGTCTCTGGAGCTAAAGGCACTCACAGCATTTGAAATTTGAATTATGAGCTTTACAGGAGTAGTCTTGCTTTGTTTGCCCATATTCTGTTTCTTTGTTGACATTTCTATGTCTGTCTTCGTGGGCATTTGTTATCCAGTTAAAATGAACAGCTATCCTAACATTAAGAAGAACAGAAAAGAAAGAGACACAACTAAGAGAATAAACTAAAAAGTTAAAAAAATAAAAGCCAAGTTAATAAAAATAAAAGGAGGAAAATAAAAATGGGGATAGACAATTTTGATGGGGTTTGGCTTTTTTGAGACAAAGTGTCTCTGTAGCCCCAGCTGTCCTGGAACTTGCTGTAGACCAGATTGACCTCAAATCTCATTAAGCTCCACCTTTGCCTCCTAAGTTCTGGGCTTAAATGTGCTACTATGCCCAGCTAATAATTTTTTAAAAAGGAAAAAGATGGTGGAAGAGATAAAAAGATCCAACTAAAGAATAAAATTGTAAATAAATAAAATTAGATAAAAATAAGAAAAACAAAACAAAAAAAGTCAAAAATTCTTCCTAACCAAGTTACTTGGCCTGAAATGAAATGCCTCTTTGTGGTCATCTAACACTGGGATCCACCACGTAGGAAGGGCTTATGAGTCGCAGCTGAAACTAGATGTAATTTCTGTTTCCACCCTGACAATTTAGGTCAGTTTCCAGACTGCTCCCTGCCTATTTCCTGCCATGCAGGTTAAATTGGTAGTGTCCCTGGCAGAACTGTGTTGGTTCCAGAAGTCTTTTATATGTATACCAGAGGTGTGGAAAAAGGCTAGCTGTCAAGAGTCTTTATTGAATATGGATCTTGAGCAGTATATGGATGGCCACGCAGGTGCATGCTCTCCTTTAGAAGCCGTCAGCCTGTTGGTCCCCAGGTCATGGGAAATGGCCAAGCTATGGTGTGTTCCCTTAACAGTAGGGAGAATAATCAGACCACCGAGTTCAGCCAGGGAGAATTGGCGACCTTTGTCATTTCAGACCCAGACCCTGTACAAAGCCACACATACCTGATGTAGCTGGTCTCTCACCTCCTCACACAGAGGGACCCCCTACCTCTGAGAAGTCTTCTCTCTCCCCCATGCCACAGCCCACCCTGTCTGCTGCTAAACCTCATAGTGAATTTTTCACAGACACCCCATCAGCAACTTGGTGGACTCCTACCTTGTCACTGCTGCAGGAGGACCTCAGGGACTGTGATCATTCTGTGTGTGTGTGTGTTTTATATCTAGAGCTGGTTAGCTTCTAAGAATAGGACCTTTCTCAAAATGGCTCCTAATTAGAGCCCATAGAGTATTTGCTGAGCCATAGACAGGGTATCTTCTCTAATGGTAGGCAGGAAGTGTCACATTGAGGACGAATCCTTGTACTGGATTTCAAGCTGCAGGAAGCATGGGTTTCTCCTGTAGTTGGACTTCCAGTCTGCTATTATTACCTGTGTTGCTGCTGGTCCTGCAGACTTTCCTTAGGCTTGCAGCGTGCAGCTCTCCACTCCCAGGAGAGCTAAGGTTGAAGTTGAAAACTACTTTGTACTTTTCTCTGAATATTTTCCACTTCTGCTGTTAAGCTTTCTGCTCATTTTGTTTGGTTTCCAGCATTCTTCGTTGCTTTCTCTCCTTGAAGCATATTTCTCATTTGTTGCCCCAACTCTTCTTACACAGTCACTGGCATGCCACTTGATTCTGCCATCTTTCTCCCTTTTCCTACAATGTCTTTCTTTTAGAATTCAAACACTTTTATATGAGGATAGAGTCCTATTACTAGTATAACTCTTTTTGAAATGCTCCAAGTAATTAAAAGCCACGACTACATGTTTAAATTACTGTTTAAGTGATTCTTTTTTTTTTTTTGGTCTTTTTGAAACAGGGTGTCCATGAAGCTCCAGCTGGCCTGGAATTTGCTATGCAGACCAGGTTGGCCTTGAACTCACAGAGATCAACCTGCCTCTGCTTCCCCAGTGCTAGGATTAAAGGTGTACATCATCACTTTCAAAAGAAATGTTTAATTTTTAATTTTTCCCCTCCAACAATAGAGAGCGAGAGCAAACTGAACTTGATGGAGCCGGTGGTCCGGCCGACTTTGACTCGGGACCAGTTCCTGCTAATCCTTTCCAGCCAATAGCAGCAGTAATCATTGAGGTATGGATTGTGGCAAATGCTATTCCTATATGTTAAATAATAAAGTTAAAGCTTGGGAAGGAGGTTAGGTATTGGGACAACAGGCAGGATAATAGAAGAATTTCTTCTGAGAATATTTCCAAGGAAGTTAAAGATGTGCAACTGAGTAAAGATTTATTTTTTTTCTACTTCCAATTTACTTTTGGAGCTGGGCTATAACCCAGTGATAGAATGCTTCCTAACATAATTTTTTTTAAAAAAGTTACCTTCAATACAGTGTAGAAAGAGAAATATAGCTAAAAATGTATAGGAATAAGAATAAAGGTCGAATATATCAATTATAATAGTTACTGTTTTGATAAACCTATTTTTTCCATTTCTTTCACAGTACTAACATATTTAATCTTTATATTCTTTGTACTAGTATTGCTATTACTTTTTACAAAAAATGTTTAGATTTAAGAAAATATTTTATTACTTTTATTTTGTTTATGTGTATAAGTATATTGCCTGCATATAAGTAAGTGCACCTGTGTCCTGTAGTGTCCGCAGAAGACAAAAGAGAGCATCGGATCCCCTGGAACTGGCTTTATAAACATTGTTAGCTGGGAATCAAACATAGATCCTCTGTAAGAGCAGCCAGTGCTCTTAACTGCTAAGCCATCTCTCCAGTCTCAATATTTAGATTTTTATACTGTATTAGTGTTCATACCAACTTTCTGTTTTCTTAGGATACTTAAGAATGTTCCAAACAGCATATATTGCTGTATCTGAATTCTATTTAATTTTAATCACATTTTGCACACATTAACTTGTAAATTTAAAAAGTATTATTACATTCATATTTTTTGTGTGTTTATGTGTCACACATAACTTGTAAATTTAAAAATTGCTTATTTGTTCGTGTGTGTAGAGGTACAGATGTGGAAGTTCGAGGTCGGCTTTTAGGAGTGGCTTCTGTTCTTTCCTATATGGTTTCCAGGGATTGAACTCAGGTCATCAGCCTCAGTGTCAAGCAGTTTTACCTGTTAGCCATCTCACTGGCTCAACTTGTAGATTTTAAAAGAATTATTATTTTTATTTTATGTGTATGAGTGTATTGCTTGTCGTGTGTAAGTGCCCCTGTGTAGGGCAGTGCCCACAGAGGTCAGAAGGTGTTGGATTCCCTAGAACTGGAGTTATGATGTTGTTAGCCACCATGTGGATGCTGGGAACCGAACCTGAGTCCTCACGCAGTCAGTGCTCTTAACCACTGAGATATCTCTCCAGCCCCTCAACTTGTAGATTTTAATAATGCAGTTTAAGGGGTGTGTGTGTGTGTGTGTGTGTGTGTGTGTGTGTGTGTGTGTATTTTCATCTGCTGCTGCTGTCCAGAGTTTGCACTGGCTCTATGCTAATAGCCCTTAGCAGCCTCCACTTAGGCCATGCATCCTACACATCCTCCATTGATGCAGATCGCATGGAGGCACCTTGCTGGTCCTTCCCTATGTTCTCCATTCTTCTCCCCTTATCACTGCCTCCTGCCAGGTGCTCATCAGAGATAGCAGACCACTCTTTGTTCCTTGGTGTGCTCCTGAAGAGGGAGGCATCTCCTTAGCCAAGAAGTTAAAAGTCATGAGTAATATGAGCTCTTGTTTTCTCTCCATTCTGTCAGAAACTGTTTGTTGTTTTGTTTTGTGTTCTTTTAAAAAGAGTTATAGAAAAGGATTCAAGATTTGCTTTTTACTTTGAAACAGTGATGGACTCTCTGTAATGAGGTTTGCCTTAAATAAGTGCAGTTATTTTACAACAACACAGGTGAAAACTACTGAGAATTTTTCACAATACAAGAGGTTAAGAATAGTGGTTTATATCATAGAATATCATATATTGAGTCTATAAATTAATTACTGGTATGAGAAAAGCACAGTTATGCTTTTAAACTATGATAATTCAAGAAGAGTGTCTAAAGTCTTGAAAACAATCCTACAATCCCTTTTTACCATGCATATTATTTTTTTTCTCAGTAAAACTTCTTTAATATGTTTGTATTATACAGAAGTCCATACTTTTTCTTTGATTTTTCTACTGATCTTCAAAATGGTGAGGTAGTGTGAAGAACTGTCCGTAAGAAACAGATCAGTTGACAGGTAGTGATAGAGTGTGTATGTGTTTTTAGTATAAAATAAAAGAAAAATTTCAAATCTAAGAGAATGAGTATTATAAGAAATAAACATGTATTTGTAAGAAAGTAAAATAATGAAATACTATTTACTGAATTACATTTCTTTTAAAAAGTAGCCTTCAATTACTAGTAAATAAAATAACAATATGTTTATGTGCTAGATGTATGAAAAACTTAAAAGCAAAACACTCAAGCTACAAAACATAAAATGAAAAAGAATTTATATTCAAATTTAAAAGAGCTGCTATGCAAAGTTAAAATACAAAGTGGAAAAAAGAAACTAGCCCTATTGCAGAAAGGGACACACCAACCACACAGTCCTGTGGGACTATGGGACACAATGTAAAAATTATCATGAAAATAATAAAAGAAACTGGGAATTGGGTTACTGCAGGCCATATTCCAAAGCAGGAGAGGGACATGGCTGTAAGGGAATTTGAGAGTTAAGGCTCTCTAGTAGTGAATACATTTTATTTAAGTCAAAACTCAAATCAAATTAAGACAATACCAAGTAAATATTTATTAGTTAGGCTACCAACTTATAGCATTGACAATGACTTAGAGATTGGCTAGGCATATAACTCAGTTGTATGGTGTTGGCCTAGCATGGTCAAGGTGCTCAGTACCTTAACTGCCCAAAATCATTAGAGAAATGTCATTCTTTCAACCCTTTGCCTAATTCAGTTTTTCTGAAGCAAAGTTTTGATTTTATGTCACATTTTAAAATATACTGACCAGCTGATCCAATAGTTTCCACCACTAGGAATTTAATTTAAAACAATAGGATAGTTTGCTGCTTATAATAGTGAAAAATTATACACACACACACACACACACACACACACACACACACACATATAAAACTTCTTTGTCCATTGGAAGGTAGTTAGTATAATAAGTGATGATATTACCATTTAAAATGTTAATGTAATTAGGGGACTTAGGGTGGCTTAGTCAGTAAAATGCCTGATACAGAAGGCATTTTATAGAAGTCCAGATCCCCAAGATTCCAAGTTAAAAGCTGGTCGTGGTGACATGTGCCTGTGACTCTAGTATTGGGGATGTAAAGGTAGGAGATCTCTGGAGCTCATTAGCCAGCCAGTCGACCAAATCAGTGAGTTTCAGGTTCACTGAGAGACTCTGTCTCAAGAAAGCCACCTGATGTCAACCTCTGTTTTCCACATGCACACACACCTATACATATGTACACACCCGCACTAACAAGTATATGTACGACACATACACATAAAATGTTAACGTAATTGATGAAAATAATAGCAACTAACAGCCATATGTATAGCGTTTACAACATGAGGAACTACTACTGTAAGTACTTCATGTATTCATTGACATGGAAAAACATTTTAAAATAAAACTTCACTTTTATTTCAGCAATGAATAAACACATATATACAGAGTCACATATGTATGTTTGTTGGTGGTTGTCTGTGTGTGTAGAAAAGAGGCAGAGAAAATGCCTCTTAGTGATGATAAACAATGCTGGCCATCTCGAGATTACAAAGCTAATGGCAATAGTTATTCATCTGTCATTAACCCCTCTGTTTTTACTAATATTAACAATTAGCATGTTTTAATCATATATTTAATAAGTTAATATAAGTGTCACATGCTACTGAAGTTACTGAAAGCTCTTTCTTTAGTTCTTGTTAAAATGACCTTACATGTGACCATTATGATAATGTGTTTCATTTTTGTTAGAATGAAAGAAAGCTTGAGAAAGAGAAAAAGAAACAAATTATGGAGAAAGACAGTGATGATTGCCCCTCGGAACACAAAATGGAGCAGGCACCAGTAGAGACAGAGAGCCAGGCAAGTGACAACCGCAAACAGAATGAATCTGAAATCCTAGAGAGTTATAAGGAGGCCTTAACACAGCAGTTGGATAATGAAGATGAGGGAGAGCAGCGATCATCAGAATCAGGCGGTAAATATCATTTCCTCATTTTCATATGTAAATGGCATTTATATTTGATTTTATATCATGTTTATAAAAACGGTTCTGTAATATAATGCTTTTTATTTTCATTTGATTCTACATGAAGTGAGATGATTCAAATCACATGAACTTATTTAAAAAATTATTTTCTAAATACATTTATTTTTCCTATGTCTATAGGCTTCACAGATACTGGTTATTTCTTATGTTATAATTTTCACTTTAGGAAATGTATTATGATTATATGATTTTTGCATGTATATTTAAATATATGAAGTAAGTTTTAGTAGTTTAGTATTTTAACTTAAATATTTTGGTAACTGTTCTAAATTTGATTATTTAATATATAATTTTGGTTTTACATTGTTTAAATTTACACATTCTATTAGTTACTTTTCTGTGGCCATTACAAAACACTATGGCCAAGGCAGCTTACCGAAGGAAGAGTTTATTTGGCTTATGGTTCCATCATGGTGGCAGAGGCATGTCAGCAGGAGGCAGCCAGAACAGAAAGCCAAGAATTCACATCTTCAAGCAGGTACAGGAAGTAGAGAGAGAAAACCTGGAAATGGGCAAGGCGAGAGCCCACCCCCCCGTGAATTGATTCCTTCATCAGGGCTACGCCTCCTAAACCTCCCAAAACAGCGCCACCAAGTGGGGACAAAGGCTGTGGTCATATTCTGTTCAAATTACCATACACATTAATAAAGAGAGCCTTAGTATGTGTTTAAGTGAGAATCTGTATTTTTTTTTATATAAATAACAAATTGGGCTAGGTCTACTAATGTGATTACATATATTTCTGTTGGGCATATCTTGCTTAGGGATTATTTTAATGAGTAATGTGTATACATTTGTTTGGTGTCTTAGTCATTTTAAATGGTTATTTTTGGAGTATTTATGACTAGAATCATTCTACATATTTCTCTAAGGATAGTCAATACCTCTTCCTTTTTTGTAGGCCTTTCTGAGTTTTATGGAAACTCCTACAATTAATGTTACATTTGTTTAATATGACATTTACAAGAAATTTAGTTACTTTCAGAAGTGAAAAACCTCTCTTAGAACTTGAAACAGGCTTTTTGCTGTTTGTGTTATATTCAATAATCATAATTATTCTGTTATCCATCTAAAATTTATTCTTTGTAACTGCAAGTACACATTTGGTTATCGATAACAGTTCCAAAAGTCGAGTAGAAGAGTAATGTATGTATATATTCTTATCACAGATAATAGTAAAAAGAAATCTAAGAAACTAAGAATGAAAAGGAGTCATCGGGTAGAGCCAGTCAATACAGATGAATCTACTTCTAAGAGTCCAACACCGCCCCTGCCTCCCCCTCCTGGTGAGTAAATTGATATTGATATTAAATGTAGAAATACTGCTTTAAGCACCATACAAAAATAAGAAAGAATAAATGAGGTAGTTTTCATTTAGTGTTTTCATTATCCTGTCAGTTTCTAAGAATCATTTACTGTCTGTGTTTTGCAAAATTTGTTCACATTTAAGTATTGGTTGTAAGGGGAGAAAAATGTAAAGCTTATTAAAACCTTATCCAATAATTCCTAGAATGTGTTCAAATTTTATTTGAGATTGCCATATCCCATATTGCTAAAAGGAATTTAAACATAAATGTTGGAACATTTCATTGTTTTATCCTAAAAGTTACCTAGCTATGTGGTCTTGCAAATACAAATCCAACATGCATACCTACATCCTAAGATGTTAGAAGAAATTAGTATATGTAAGGCTATGGGACATAACGACACACTGACTGTAACTTTCAGCAGTGAGCATCGTATCTCACCTATTATAGATGCTTAATAAATATTCCACAACTAAATAAATACGTATTTGAGTGTTTTTTGTAGCTTTGCTATGAAGTTTTAAATAGTAACATTTTCTTTTAAGATTTAAAAAAAATGATTTCTACTATTTCATTTAATAAGAAAATAACTCTTTTAGCTTCTGCTGGAGATTAGAATGTTAGCCTAAAGCTTGTTTGTGATGATAAAAGGGTGTGTATTTTTAATTCAATGTGAGTAAGAAGTTCAAGCAGATGCTAGCATTGTATAGTAACATTGTGAACAGAAGCCATTTAGAATAGGTGGCTGTTCAGAACTGTTATTCTGAATCTTTGAATTGACATGGAATGTTACATACGTTTCCTGTTAAGGGAGGGATCCTCTGAAAAGACCTTAACAAACATTCGTTTAACAGTGCTTCTAAATGTTTTTCTTTTTCTTTAGTTGGCTGGGGAACCCCTAAAGTCACTAGACTTCCAAAACTTGAGCCTCTTGGTGAAACACGTCATAATGGTAATGCAAAAGGATCAGTTTTCAAATACCATCTGTGCATATTACATTCACTTTTCTATCTTATAACTTCAAAAATTCAGTATTTTATTTTTGGTAGCCTTTCAGGTCCACTGCCATCTTTTTTGTTATACTTTCTATTTTCATTTTACTTTATTTTTAATTTTTAAATGCACTTTGCATCTTTATAATTTGATTTTTACTTACCTCAGAATGCAAACATGAAAATAAAATCAAATCTGATATACTACCATTTTACTTAAAGTGCTAGAAAACTGCCATGTCTTGCACATGTTCAGTATGCTCTGTGATAATGACACTTAATTTTTCTCTTTTTGATCATAATCTAAACAGAATCCCAAATATTGAATACTAAAATGAAGTTAAGGCCAAAATAGAATGTAAAATAAAAGGTAAAATTAGTTAGCCAAATAAATTGGGCTAAACAGAGTTTCTTGAAGACTTTATGAAATCAAGAGAACAATTTTCCTTGAATGAAATCAACATAGCTATAATCCAGCCAAAGTATGGTGTTAGAACACCAAGAAATAAACCTAAGGAAAAAGTAGTTTGGAGGCACAGGCAGAAGTCATTCCTGACTATAAGTCTAGGTTTTTACATTCTATAGAATGCAAATAATGATAACTTATAAATACAGCTCTTTTTGTGTAATTGTAGCTCCATAAACTTTTTCATTAAGTGCATCTAATACACTTTTTGTGTTAACGTCCTCTAGAACTTTGTTTCCTAAAGAGATCACTTAGTAGAAAAAAGTTAGAAATTTAGTCTTTTGAAAGAGCATTACCATAAATTCTACATTATATCAGACTGATATATTTTTTATCAGTTTTTACAATATATTTTGACTTTTGTTTTTTGTAGTTTGGTTTTCTTGGTGCGGGGTCTCTCTGTAGCCCCAGCTGGCCTAGGACTCACTATATAGACCAGGCTGGCCTCCCTCTCACAAAGATCCACCTGCTTCTGCCTCCTGAGTGCTGGGATTAAAGGTGTGTGCCACCACACCAGGCTTATTTTGAAATATTTTATTCAAAAGAATTCATGTGTGCTGCTTGCTTTTCAGAAAAATATATAGGTCAAGTGATGATTTCTACATAATCATTAGTGAAAACTAGATTTATATTTATAAAGATGAAAGACTTTCTTCTTAGACTATATGAGAATTATGGATACAAATTTCCAGTAGAATCACATATTTCTGTTTTATTTACTGATTTTTTAACACCATAATTTTATTGATAATATGTTGGCTCCTGTTTTTTTACAGAACTCTGAATTTATTCATATTAGAATATATTAGCAATTTAAGTATTCAGTGTTAGAAAACAGTATTCAAGTTTTTCCATTTATATATGCACATAACACATAGAAAAATAATTTCTCATAGGACAGGTTATGTTTCTGTTATCAAATTTAAGATTTAATAACCACTTGTATTAGTCACTGTTCACAATGCTGTGATATAATACCTGACAGAATAAATAATTTTCTTAAAAGAGAATAGATGTTATTGCCTCATGATTTTTGAAGGATTCACTCCATCATAGCAGGGATGGCATGGCAGGATGTCTTAGTCCATGGAGGTAAGAACTTGCAGTGGCAACTTGATTACTTGCCGCCATCAGACAAGAAGCAGAAAAGGCTCGATCTAGAAGCAGAAGCAGGTATAGACTTCCAAAGCCTGCCCCTAATGACCTACTGCTATCATCCTAGCTCCACCTCCTAAAGGTGCTAAAACAGAACTACAAGCGTGGGTCCAAGTATTCACACTTGAACCTGTAGGGACATTTCAGACTTAAAAAATAACCTCCTGCTTCTGGAACCTATTATCATATGTTTGCCTCATAATACAAAATTGAAAAGTCCCTATACTCTTACCTGTTCCAACACTGTTCAAAATTCCAAAGTTTAAAGTTACTTCTGAAATAGGGAGATCTCTTATTTGTGAGCCCCTGAATATAAAAATAAAAGTTTCATACTTCCAAAATAAAGTGCAGCATAAACATTCTCTTTCAAGAAGGGAGGATCAGGGGAATATCAAGGAAAGATTGATCCAAAGCAAGACCCAAGGACAGTATGGGACATATCAGATCCTGCACTTACATGCCTGGCATATAGGGCATGTAATGGCATCATATCAGCTCCAGTGGGCTTGGTCAGTCCTGTTCCTGGTGTTCTGCTGTTTGTACTACCCATGGACTTTCTTTTGAGCTAGTACCACCAAATGCCTGCAGCTTTCTTCAAAAAATAGTCCATGTTGCTGCCATTTCCAGCATGGCAGCCTAGGCTTCACCTTCACAACCCCATGCTTTGCCTCATAGGCTTTTCTCTGCAACTTTGGCAGAAGCTTTCATGACCCTGTAATTCTTACATTCTGCATGCCTGCAAATCCAGCAGCACATGGACAATGACAGCTTCTGCTGCTAACTGAAGATGTAGGCAAATCTCTTTTATCTATGCCTGCAGCACTGTATGTTCCCATGGATGAACCTGTAAAATGTTTCTCTAGATGCCTTTTTCCAGTAGGTTGCCCTTTCTGCTTTTCACATTGCAAATGAAAGTCTTTCAAGTAAGTTTGTGGTTTTACATTCTAGGGCCTTTTCTGGTAGAGGTATAACCTTCAGTGTACCTTTCTTGTTGTTGCAATGCCAAGTGTGAAGTATATAACTTCTTTCTTTTACTCTCTTTAATAACTAGATCTACATTGCCTGCACTTGCTTCTTCTGTATTAAATGAACTCTTCCTTAGGCCTAACTGATTCTTGTTCAGTTCTTTCAGTTCTACTTTTTGCTCTCCATTCTCATTATAGAGTGGAAAAAAAGCATCTAGCAGTAACCATGCCACAGCCTGAATGTTATACTGTTTTGAAATCTCCTCCATCACATAGTCTAATACTTTTGAATTTAGGATGAGCAGGGTGTTGCCAGATTCTTTATCATACTGCAACATGAATGGCCCCTAGCAGGGTCCCAGTAGAGTTCTGTTCCCTTCTGAAAATTCATATGCATAGACTTCATTGTTTGCATGTATGTTGGCCTAACAGAATTTTCCCATGAGCTTTGTGTATAGCATTCTAGCTCTAGCTAATAGCTCTATGCTCTTCCACATTCATTCTGAAAACCAGTTCCAAAGGCCTAAGAGCCACATGGTCATAGTCATTATAACAAGGACTTGGTTTTTCTGATACCAATTTTCTGTAGGTTCTATAACCTTACATGACAGCACCCCCTCCCCCCGCTGGGTACTAAGCATTGAAACAGATGAGCCTGTGGAGGTGGACATTTTAGACGCAAACTGTAACAATGTGTGTGTTATGATTTGATACCAGCTAAAAATGCGTAATATAAAGATGAATAAGACATATACTCTACCTTTGTAGAATGCCTTATCTAATAGAAAAGACCATCCTTCAGCTTACTGTAGTATATATGACAGTAAGTTCTTTAATACAGAATTGCAGTAACATGTAGAAACTGTATGGGTAGTTAGTGAAAGTGGCATAAGAACTAGTTGTTCAACATATGAGAAGAGCCAGGAGAGAAAGAGATCTAAAAACAAGCACACTGTAATCCCAGCACCATCGATGGCTGATTCTAGGCCAGTCTGGGCTACATAACGAGAACCTGTCACACACACATACACACACACCACACACAAAAGTGTGTGTGTGTGGCAGGGAAGGGTTAGAACTAGAAAACAATAATAGTTTATTTGGAAAATAGCCTGAAAGCATGAAGTTACATGTGACTGGAGATTAGTTTCATATGTGTAGGGTGAGTAAGGGGACATTTTATGTTACAGAGATATCTAAAATGGAATTCTGGCCTTGGGCTAGATGGCGAAGGTCTCACAGTATATTAAAATATATAATATTAAAATACTATTACAATTTTTCAAGTCGTAATGTTCATTTTAAGCATGGGCATACTGTCATTAGATTTTATGTTTAGGAAAATAAGTTTTGCCTCAATGTGTAGACTTGATATTAGTTATACCTGAGGTATGAGTTCCAGTTAGGAAGCTGATGTAGTCAAAGTAAGAAACAGTTAGTAGGAATTGGAATGGAGAATTTAAATATGCTTGCAAAGAGCATTTTCACAATTATAATCAGTAATGGTTGATGAATGGAATTTGGGGTTGAGCACAACAGGAATAGAATATAATCTGGCTCAAGGGTCAACACGGTTTTTCAGTCTAACACTGAAAATGTATGAGGAAGGTGGATAACTGTTCTGAAGAGTCATGTTGATGTAGTTGTAGGTTTATTTGTTTGCAGTGTCTAAAAGCTCGCACAAGTAACATGGCACTCAGGAGAAAAGAAAATAAGGCGCTGCAGTGGGTGAGTGGTCAAGGATATGTAGGTAGATACCCTGTTGGTCCTCACTTGCTAGGAATACTTTGCTTATAACATGCTTTGTAATTACTTCTGAATTAATGTAAGTTGAAGAAATGATAGCTTGCTCTGTGGAACATAGAACTATCCTCTACAGTGAGATGAAAAGGGTACACTGTGGTCTTCAGGGAAAACATTACAATTAACTCTGGAAAAAAGTTGAAAGCAGGCTTAGAAGGATGTCTCCATTCAGTTGGCTGTGTTTGCTTTGGAATTAGAATTCTTAGGAATTAGTTACAGTTAAGACCACAGCATTCTAGTACTTTAGTGTTAAATATTTATCAAATTTCAGCTTCCCAGAAAGAACTTACTTCTGTAAGTTTTAAAATATCTTCATTTTTTCCATACATTTTAAGTGAAAGTGTATCTAATGTAGCTTTTTAAAAAATGTACAGTCAACTTTGCTTTTGTAACCTAGAGAAGAAAGCAATTATAATAAATTGTAAGCTTAAAATTTTTTGTTAAGTAATTCTTTGGGTTAATCATGAAAAGTTCATTTGAGATTCTCCTTGGTACCAGTTATAGGACTATATCCTCTTTTTCTTAACTTTTGGCACCGTTTTTTTCTTACTATATATAGAAGTATATTGACAAAAGGCTGGTAGTAAATAAACAGTGGATACTTGATGAGCTAATGAATAATTAAAAATCAAAAGCTAAAAGATACTGTGTTGAAAAAAAGTTGCCATAGTCAAATTGGAAAAAATTTAAGGCAGATTCTTACTTTGATTATAGGCATTTACCTTGATGACAGTTTAATTCTACTTTTGTAATTGCTTTTATCGCCCACTGTCTGCTCAGTGTAATAGGAAAGACATATATTCTGAGAAAGACAATCTATATTTATTTTGTGAGCACTCTGAATCTGTACTTCATCAAACTGTTGCATATGATATAAAAATGAATAAGAGGTTTTAATAGTCAAAGATACTAGCTACTTAAACTAAAGAATATTGTTAGAGCTTAAAATTATAAAGGAAGATAAAGTCTGTGTGGCTTTTTACTGCCCTTCCATTTTCATGCTAAAAAATTTTTGATGGCCTATATAAAAATGTGTTTAGACAATTAAGTTCTTTTTAGTTACGTGCTGAGATCAGCTTGTATTCTCTATAGCTAACCCAATACGAAACCTTTTCTGTGGAGAATGAGTCCATTTTCTGCAAAGTAATACAAAATCTACACAAATATAATTTTTGTAAAAAATATACAAAAATATAATTTCTTAGAAGAGGAAAAAAGGCATTCTATGCACATGCATTTGATTTTATTTATAGAAATATTTTAAAATTCATCAAAATAGGTCATATCTCTTACAACTTTAATTATAACAATAGTAACTGCAAGTAACAGGCACCTCCCATTGTGCTTTGCGGTTTCAGTTCTCTCAAATCAGATTGTAACATAGAGAGCAAAACCACCTTTCTGTTCAGGAGCCTAAGGTCTCATGCTACTAAGTTGCAGAATCAAGATTTGAGTTTGGGTCTGTCTGGTTTTGAAACTCATACTTTAACGCCTTATGTTTATTGTTACATTAATATTTGTTAAGGCATCCTGGCAGCTTAATTTTTGCTTTGAATTTATAATTGTTTTAAAAATAATTTCTCCCAGTACATTTTTTAATATATTTAAGTGCACCTGAAAACCCATGCTTCTAGAATAATTTTAAGGTAATAGACAGACAATAATGAATTACTGGTTACTTAAAGATGCCATTAAGAGTATCTTGTAGCCGGGTGTGGTAGTGCACACCTTTAATCCTAGCACTCAGAAGGCATAGGCAGGCGGATCTCTGTGAGTTCAAGGCCAGCCTGGTCTGCATAGTGAGTTCCAAGCCAGCTAAGGCTACAGAGAGACCCTGTCTCAAAAAGACAAGAGAGAGAGAGAGAGAGAGAGAGAGAGAGAGAGAGAGAGAGAGAGAGAGAGAGAGAGAGAGAATCTTCTTGTAATTCATGGCAAGTAAGGTATAGAAACTTCAGTTGGTGATTTGGCTCAGCAGCCAAAGATACTTGCTGTCGAGCCTGATATCCTGAGTTTGGTCCCCAGGACCCACATAGTGGAATCAAAGAACTGACTCCCACAAGTTGATTTTAGACACATGTACAAAAAAAATACATGTAATAATTTTTTAAAGGAAATGTTTAAATGCTTTGTTATAAGGAAAGGAAAGTGGTTGGGATATGACTCAGTTGTCGATGAGCATGCACAAGACCTGGATGCAGTTGCCACCATCTCCCTCGCTCTCTCTCACACATACATGGAAAGGCTATTTTGTTTAAAATACTTACCCAATCAGTAAGTGAGGTCGGTCTGCCTCCTGTCAGATACTTAGAAGTAATGAACACTGGCAAAGAACATGGTGTGCACAGTGACTTCCAGTGACTTAGCAGCAAGTCGTACAGATTTTCAGTGTTTTACTTATCTATTTATTTTGCCTAATGTGAGTTTGTAATAAAAACTTTTTGAAATGTATCTATCTGGTACAGTTTTTTTATTTGTTAGGTAGAATTTTCCCTGGTTGTAGGGGTTTGAATTTACTCCAATATTCTTGGATTCTTGTTTTGGTTTGTTTTCCGTATTCCCCACCTATCCCCTCACTTCTCAAGTGTCTCTGTCTTCCTCTTTTTTTCCTTTTAAAGACGTATTTATTTTTTCAGTGTGCTTTTTAAAAATGTATTTATTTTTATTTTATGTGTATTTTATGTGTATTGAGTTTTTTGCCTGCATGCATAAAAGTGCACATAAATGTTGTGTAATGGCCATGAAGGCCAAGAGGGCATCAGATCCCCTGGAACTGGAAGTACGGACAGTTGTTAGCTGCCATGTGGGTGCTGGGAACCAAACCCAGGGTCCTCTGCAAGAACAGCCAGTGCTATTAATGGCTGAGCCATCTCTGTAGCCCTGTACTCTTTTTAAAGATGTTGGTTGGAAAACAACTGAGTGAAGAACTTTGATTACCACACTGTTTTGTATATTTGTTTCCCTTCTTTCTGCAGATTTCTATGGGAAGCCACTGCCTCCCCTGGCTGTGCGACAGAGACCTAATGGTGATGCTCAGGATGGGATCTCATAACCAGATCAGATGGATTAGCCTTCTTAATATCAGCAAGGTGAACTGGGACCTTGTTTCCCAAAAGCAGAAAACCCCTGACCATTGATGACTGGGCAAGACAACAGTAATGATTTCAGGGAGGAAAGAATAGCCAAGAGCTTGACCTGATAATTTACTTCTTCATGTCCTCTGTGGTTAAAAAAAAAAAAAAAAAAAAAAAAAAAAGGAGAGAAAATGGCCAGTAGCTGAGAAGAGCATTTGGCCAAGTTAGCAAGAAGTAGTGTTGAGTCTTTGGTTTATACATCCCCATTCTTGGGCATATTCCTGAAGGAAAACCTCCTCAGAAATAGAGCCAATGGACTCTGCACACCTTATTATTTAATAGTCTGTATTTCTATATATTAAACATTTTATAAGGCAGTGTACATGAAGGGGAAACTCATGGGAATTTATAACCTAAATTTTAAACTATTTTTATATTTTTCTAAAATTTTTAAGTTTATTTTATTGATTATGCACTTTTCTACAGATGCTTTGTTTAAACTGGATATAAAGTTGATTTACTTGACAGACATGAACTATACGAGCAGGATGTGTTTAAATGGCTTGAGGTATGTTTTATGATAGCATTGTTCTTAAAGTGTACATCCTATTTTGACATAACTTTCAAATAATTACTATTTAAAAAAGCAAGTTTTCAGACCTTTATTCTACCAAATTACGTGATTTGAAAGCAGTCCCTGAGGAGGAGAGAGTTCTGTTTTGTTGCTTTTTTTTTTTTTTTTTTTTTTTGTTGCTGATGATCTCAAGAAATGCTAAGACACTTGAAGTAAGCCTTCTTAGTCTAAATTTAAATTAATAAAATTGAGTCCTGGAAGATATTACTAGAAATCTTAATAAAGCCCACTTTTAGAGATTGCACATCTCAGAGGTCAGGGTGCTCTCTGCCATGTCTTTGTTCTGTTAGAAGCTTTGGGGACTGTTCACAGTCATCCAGATTCTTTGATGCCTTGATATTAAAGGCAAAAAGACTGAAAAGGCTACTACAGGTGTAGAGATTTCCATATTTTCCCTCACAAATAGCTTGAGCACTACAGCAATACAAATAAAGATGTTAGCTCAAATAACTTTATAATATAAAGAAATATTTCCAACCCGATATCTGAATTTAAAATGATAGCACTTGCTGTGCACTTGAGTGCCATCCATAAAGATTCTCTGTTCATCTGCCATTTAGTAAAATTTCTAGATACATATTTTAAGTAATGGATTCATAATATAACATTTAATTGAAAACATGCCATTAAGTCAAGGTGAAGGTAATATAAACAGCAGAATTTTCATATCCCCTCTTAAGATGGGCACTTTATACTGACAGTGGACATATACTGATTTCTGGGCATAAGCCCAAGGTAGAGTACTATGATTACTTACTTTTTAAACGTTTACAGCAGGTTTTGTTCACGCCTTAGCTCACTGGACTTTCAGCAGTCAGGTGGCATTAGGCTGGTCAGCACTCAGTTTCTTTGAATTTCTACATGGGACCTACTTAGCACACTGTGTTTTTACATGTAACTTCTTATGAAAACCCATGCACAGAATTTGGCAGGGGCTCAGGTGAGGAGAGGTACCTCAGCAAGTTAGGATGCAAACTGTGACCTGTAGTTTAGAGAAGAAGTGTTCATCTTTTGGTTACTTTTATAACATTTAAATTAATGTTTAAACTCATACTCTGCTGTCTTTTAACATTCTGGTTTGGGAATAAAGATGTTTTAGAACGTTTGTTTCCTGTAGTGTACAGTAATTACCCACTATTTCATAAAAATGATTTTGAAATTAAATGTAATATAAATGGAATCAATGTTTTATATAGCTTTCTCAAAAATTGTTTTCTTAATTCACTCTAAATATTCTTTTCAAGATGTTTCTGTGGGATTTTAACACTTACAATTTTAACACTTTATGGGATTTTAACACTTAAATGCCTATTTTATTATACACTACACTTTCATTCGTATGAACTATAACATTTTCACACAATAAAAATAATTTATACCAGTATGCTGTTTCTCTTTTCATTTGTTGGTTTTAAATGATTTGCTTTAGCTAATCAGATTTTTTTTATAATATTACTGTACAAAGACAGTTAAATTGATGGATTAAAATAATGTACTTTTGGGCTGGAAAGATGGCTCAGCAGTTAAGAACACTGGTTGTTCTTGCATAAGACCTGGGTTCAAATCCCAGCACCCACATGGCAGCTAACGACTGTCCATAACTCCAGTTCCAGGGGATCTGACAGCCTCTTCTGTCCTCCACAAGCACTGCATGACATGGGTGCACTTACCTACATGCAAGCATAACACTCATACACATAAAAATAATAAAATATTTAAAAAAACCATAGTGTGCTTTTTCTTATTTTACATGAAAACCTTTTCTCTATAAGGATATAAGTGAGGAAACCCTGCTGTGATTTTTGTTTCCCCTATATTACCTCCAGTGTCTTGTTAAAGCTACTGGCCAACAGATATATTTTTACCTATTTAAAAGAAAATTATGTGTGCCTTTATATGGAAAATCATATGTATATACTATATATACTAATATATTTGCATATATACATACTTATATCTGACATATACTTAACTGATGTCAAGTACTGAAGTGCACCAAGAAGCTGTGCTAGAAGAGCTAACAGAATTTTTTAAGAGATGTTGATTGCATCTTTTCCTCAAAAATTTCAACTATTTTTGTAATTTGGTGTATTTATATAATGAGGGAAGCAAATTTATATTTTTTGTATGACTTCTTTAAGTGCCATGTTTTCTTCCATCTTAAAATCAAATGCTGTTGTAGCCAAATTAGAATCTAGAATTTACTCACTATATAAAACTATGAACAGGCCAGAAAAGTTCACCTATAGAAAATGGCATCGAATCTTATATTTTTACCAAATATTCTCGAGCTATGCAAAAACATTTTGAGGACTGGAGAGATTTCTGAGTGGTTAGAGCACTTGTTGCTCTTGTACAAGATCTGAGTTGGGTTCCTAGCATCCATTTCTGGTGACTCCCAACTGCCTGTATCTCCAGCTCCAGGAGATCTGACATCTTCTTTTGGCCTCTGAGGGCATGCACACTCTTGTGCACACCCCCACTTCCACCCCTCAAACACATCATTAAAAATAAACCTTTTAAAAAATTATTTTGATTTGATGCTCAGAATATTCATTCTTTCCCATTTCAACTAAAGAAACCCATGCTTCTAGGTAAAGGCTCTGCAAAACCTGCAGCTCCTTATAGAAATAAACCTTCAGCTTATGCATTTCATCACCCTTGGCTTTTTGTTGCTGATGTATTATTTTCTTTCATTTTTGTTTTTTGAGACAGGGTTTCACTATGTAGATCTGACTCTGTAGACCAGGCTGGGCTTGAACTCACAGAGATCCGCCTGCTTCTGTCTGTGTCTGTTTCTGCCTCCTGCCCCTCCTCCCCTGCCTCCCAAGTGCTGGGATTAAAGGCATGTGCTACCATGCCGAGCCATCCTTGGCTTTAATACCTGAGTATTTCCTCTAAATAGAGGGCATATTTTATTACAGATTCTGTGACTACTTATTATTTATTGAGAAATATATTCCAGCTGATGGAAGGAGCAAATTCAGAATTGCAAATCTTAAAGTAGAGCAGAGATTATCAAATAGTGGTAATCCTGGTGTTTTGTAGAAATAGAAGAGTAGGAACTTAGTGTTTTTCAGAAAAAGGAGAGGAAATAAGAAATGCATTTCCTTTAACCAAGTGGATCAGTTTATAACTAAAGGGGAAATAAAGTGTTTATGCCCTAAGTTATAAATTCATTTTATGCACTGATGTGGAAACATAATGTATGATACATGTGAGTTAATCAGTGGTCTCCAAATGTTTGTTACTGTGTTATCAACAAACATTTTAATATTCTTCTGTACTTGTTATGATTAGTTAGGAGTGGCATAAATAAGTAGCACCAACTTCATGGGCTGAACAGATCTTATTTTCTCTGAAGGCTGTAAGTCTAGGTCAAAGTGCTAGCAAGACTGGCTTACCCTAACGCTTCTTACTCTAGCCGCTAGCTCACAGTGCTCACTGCCTCTTGTCCCTAGCATGTCCCAGTGTGTGTATCTCAATGATTGTCAGTTACACTGGGTTAGGACTCATCTGCACAGTGCCATTTTTACCTAACTACCGCTTTTAAAGGTCATCATAAGTGGAGACACTGAGGATTAATGCTTCAACATGGAAATGTTGCAACAGCAAATTCCAGTCTGATAGCTATAGGTACATGTTATGCATGGCATACATTTTATGCCCCCCTTGAAATGGAATTTCATAACAAGTAAAACAATAAAAATAGAAGTCATATTTACTCTCTACTTGCCAGCAGTGTGGATTGTCTGCTGGGTTTTATATACACTACCTGGACCACTAAAGTAATAGGAGTGTCACCTGAACTTAGGGTCCAAGGGTGTTTGAACTGTGTTCTCTAGCCTTGATTACAGGTGCCCCAGTTTTTTTCTGTCATGTTTTTGAAGGGTCAAAGAGCTCTCAATGTCAGACTGCTTTACCTTTTATATCTTAAGACCTTTTGGACAACATGGAAGGAAGAGCTTTGAGGCATGGTTTGTATAAGTATGAAAATTCATAAAACTGCTAAAATAAGAGAGATGGCTATAAAATATATTCATCCAAAACATTTCTTAGATTAGCTGATTTAGTGTTTAAAAGGCTCAGATCAAAATAAAATCTTCATGCCTACTCTAAATTTGAGGCCAGCCAGGTTCTACATAGCAAGTTCCAGGCTAGGCAGAGCTGTATAGAAAGATCCTGCCTCCAAAACAAAACAAAACAACAAAAAATCCTGCCTGTCAGTTATTATTGTCAGTTGAGTCTTTCACATTAGCATTAAAAAGGAAAAAAAAAAAAAAAAAAACACTAGGCAAGCCTTTAATTCCAGCACTCAGGAGGCAGAGACAGGTGGGTCTCTGTGAGTTTGAGGGCAGCCTGGTCTAATAGTTCCAGGCTAGTCAAAGCTACATAATAAATCCCTTTCTCAAAAAATAAAACAAAAAATAATTGGAAAAAGAAACTAATTAGTAATGGGATGTAGATCATTTGCTGTTGTGGTTGTGTGACATGCACTAAATCCTGGTTTTAATCCCCAACACCACATAAACATGGCATGGTGGCGTACCACACGTATCCCAGCACCTGGGAGGTAGAGGTAGGAGAATCAGTTTAGTGTTGTCTTTAGGCTGGCCTACATGAGACACTGCCTCAGTATCAACAATAAAATACACTAATGTAAATGCTGGTATTTAATGTCATGTCTATTTCTTATCTCATGTCTGCACTGGTTTAAAACAGGTCCATGAATAGTTTCTTTTACTAAAACTGCAGAATTTTATTCTTCAGTAGGTATTTGGGATGAGAGGTAAATGTACTAACATTCTTATAAAATATTAGATCTAGGTGGATGATGAGCTTAAATATAAAAGATCAGAGGCTGGAGAGATGACTCAGTGGTTAAGAGCCAGTATTGCTCTTGCAGAGAACCAGCACTCAGGTCAGTTGACTTACAAGTATCTGTAACTACATTCTAGGGGGATCCTGGCCTCTGTGGGCAGCTGCACTCAAATGTGCACATACCCACATACATAAAATAATTAAAAATCAATTTTTGAAAAGAATGAAAAAAGATCAAACTAATGAAAAGAAAGGATGAAACAACAGAATTGTCCTCATCTGTGGGAGAAAATACAGATACCTGAGAAAATCAGAATCAATGAAACAACCAGTGTCCCATAAATTTAGTTAGGCTGGGTGTGATGGTGCACACCTTTAATCTCAGCACTGGGAGACAGAGGCAAGAGGATCTACATAGCCAGTTCGAGGCCAGGCTAGGTCCTCGTAGTGAGACCCTATCTTGAAAACGAAAACCAGAAACACAAAGTTTAGAGTTGTTTAACATTTAAGGGTTAAGTAATTTTAAGAAAAATTGGGAATACACTTTAAAATGTGACATTGTTAAGATTAGGACACTAGATGAGCACACATGAGCAGGTAACTTAAAAAGAAACAGAGCTAATAAGATTTGAAAATCTATTCTATATACCTAAAATTTATGATTATCAGAATTTCAAATTAATCAGAAAATATCTTTAACTCAGAAAAATCAAAATAGATTGTCACAAAACTGACCTCTTTCCAAGTCCAACACATTCCCCTAATATGTGAATCTACTTCCTGGCTTTCTAGGTGTGCATTGCAAATGTAAAACTAGAGTATTCAGTAGTTGAGGCATTTTATAATGAATATAGAAGATACATGAAATCTCTCTAAACATACCAGCTAAAAGTAGACCAATGACTTTTCCACAAACTTCAGATGGTATTCATTGAATCATTTTAATACTGAATATTTTATTTTCTTTCGCACCGAATCTAAATTCTATCAAGATGCTTTTTTAGATTACTGAGGAACTTGTTTAAACATACTGAGCTTTAAATCACAGTGGTTAAGAGACTAGCACCTATTACATATACCTCTACTTAAATTTTGAACAAGGTCCATCTCAAAATGATAAATTACACGGGGCCACACTGTTAAAACTGCTGAGTTGTTACCAGAGAGCATGGAGAAAGGAACACCAACCACACTGACTGGTTGGTGTAATCAACACCTTCCTGAGAATCATCTACATCTGTACTAGTGAAGGTGGGTTGAGGAGGCATAGTGGGTCCTCTTTGGCCCGTCTTGGATCAGTGCTCGATTATAACCACAATAATCAGGGCAGTGAAACTATATTAACAGCGAACTTTGGGGTGCTGTTCGGTAGTGTCATTGTTAAGCGTTTTACACATGTATTTCAATCTCACACAAACTCGATTACTTTTCTAGAGCCTTTCAGGTTAACGGGGGTCATCAGACTTGTAGACTAGTTGTGCCTCCAATTATACACTGATGACAGAACGTCACGTGGTGCCAGAGATCTCTTCGCGAGCCCACACAGGCACAGTTCCCGCGGCAGGTGGCTGTTACAGCTTTGGCCACCCAGCCTTGCCCCTGGGCCCAGCGCACCGCGCACGGCCAGCTTCCGCAGCCCAGAAAAGGTCTTCGCAGGTCTCCCAGCTACTGAACTTCCCCGCGAGATTTTGAGACTGCAAAGTAGGATCTCGCGAGAACTGGAACCGGAAATGTGGCTATAAACACCCTTCCGCGGATCCCGGAAGTGTGGCTCTCTGTTCTGTTCTCAGTCTTGGCGTGGGCCTTCTCCGAGCGTTCTTCCGGGGCTGGGGCTGGACCATGCTGACTCCGGTGAGACCGGAGAGACGGGATGGGCTGGGTGGGGGCTCCACGCTGTCTTGCTCCGGAACCTTGTTCTGCGGGCCGACCGGATCTTGAGCGTCCCCGGCATCATCCCGGGGACTCTGCTTAGTCCCTCCGGCCCAGGCATGCGCACTCCGGGGTTGAGCCTGGGTTGGCCCGCCCGGCAGAAGCTCCAGCCTCTTTGCACCCAGGGGAATTAGAACTGCAACACCTCCTGGGCCCTTGGTGCACTTTCTTTGGCGACTAAGTGAAACAGTTGTTGGAATTCGAAGTTTATTTGCTTCAGTAAGCTTTGTTTTGGAAAGTATTTCAGGTTTACAGACAGGTTGCAACGATAGTCTTCTCGTGAGCCTTTCTCAAAGTACCCATCTCATGCCAACATACATCCAGTGTAGTTAAAATTTTAATGCCTTTCGACATTTCCTTAGCATAGATTCACGTTTGACCTTATTGGGATAATAATCACTTTTAGAAATGTTCTTTGCATAAGTAGGCGGAGTATCAGTCACACAATTTTATTACAAGGTACTGCAACCATTGGAAGAACCGGAGTCTTTTTAAAGTGTTCTCCAAACTCAGAAACCCCACCTTGCTGAGGAGGTATTGGGCTTTGATGGCTGCTTGGCAAGAGAAAGTTTTCTTCTGGGATGTAACCCTTGGTAAATTGCCCTTGCTCCAGGAGATGGCCCCTTACACCCATAAACAGCAATTGGACTCTGGGTTAAAAAAGCAAAAACAGGAAGTTGGGAGTGGAGGGGGAGTTTTGGGAGGAATTGGAGGGGGAGGAGTAGGGGATGGATACCATCGAAGTACATTGTATATACATGTATGAAATTCTCGAAAGGTCAATATATTTAAAGACGTATTCTAAAAATCACGTTAATGCTAAGCTTAAATTTCATGTTATCACAGTGTTTTCAGCAACTTTTTCTTACTATCTTAGCTGAAAGCAAAATCAGAGGGGAAGCTTGCAAAACAGATTTGCAGAGTTGTGTTGGATCATTTTGACAAACAGTATTCCAAAGAACTCGGGGATTCCTGGAATACAGTAAGGTTAGTATAATTCATCTCTTGATACTCTGTGACAGGACAGTGGAAGCATGTATTCCGCCTTTTGATGAGGTGTGTAGTAGCCTTTTGGGTGGAAGGATGTAGTGAGGAAGAAGGTAAAGGATTCAAATCCTGGCTGTGCTCTCCTACTTGAGCCGTAGATATGAGGCACTAAAGAAATAGATTAGCCGATAGAGTAGTGAAAAGTGGAGAAAGGAAACTTTCCAAGAATAGTAAAAATTAACTCTCTCCTGTAGCAATTATTTCCATCTGCTAAATGGGAATGTACAACATTTTAACAAAATCAGTGCGGTAGCAAAACATTTAAAGCTCTGAAGAACTTTGACCACTCTCTGAAACATTCAGAATATACTATAAATTCTTAAAGCAATGTCTCTATCTTAGCTAAAGTCATACCTTATTTTGAAATCATATTCCCTGTTAAGTCTGTGAATCTTGGACACATGTATATGGACAGACCAATCTAAATGTATTTTACAAACATACATTTAATACAGAAAAGTCGTAAATGTGGGTGGGCAAAATGGCTCAGTGATTTAAGGTGCTTGCCACCAAACCTGACAGCCTGAGTTCAACTGACTCCTGCAAGTTGTCCTCTGAGTCCACACTGACCTATCACCCACCCCCAGAAATAAATGCAATAAATATTTTTTTTAAGTGACAGACATGCTTTATATATTTGGTGAGTTTTGGTCTTGATTGAAATGACAGTGAACAGGCTTTTGCACAGAGTGCCTGATACAGTATATACAATACCCGGGAGTACAGAGAGCAATGCAGTCCTTATGCCTAGCATGCTCTAGTCTTTTGCTCTTGGCAGAAGTGAATGGGGGGAGGGGCATGGTTATAAAGATGGTAAGTGCTACTATAGAAGTAGGCAAGGATCATAGCATATTTTGTCACGTGTATGAGTGCCAGGGAAAGCCCAATCTTGGTGACTTAGTAATTAAATTTGCAAAATAAGCAAGACATTACAGGCTGAGGTACACTAGTGGGTTTTGAAGGGCAAAAGCCCGATACATTTTGCACAGGGGGGATAAGAGTTATGTGGCTATAGATAACTGTGTGGAACTTGGCTCAAACAGTAATTTCCCAGATGACTGATTTATTCCATTTCAGAACTTGGATTAATTCAGTAGGTTTTTCTCCTTTACAAAGGACAGCTTTAAGCATTTTTTTTCTTTCTTTCTTTTTTTTCGGTCTTTTTGAGACAGGGTCTCCCGGTAGCTCCAGCTGCCTGGAACTTACTCTGTAGACCCGGTTGGCCTTGAACTCAGAGGGTTCTCCTGCCTCTGCCTACCGAGTGATGGGATTAAAGGCATGAGCCACCATGCCCGGCTTAAGCATTTTTTAAAGAACAAACATAAGGTTTATTAAAAAAGATAATGAAGTCTGAAGCTGGTCAAAGGTAATTTTAGGACCTTAAACTATTTAGGAAACTTGTAAGTATTATAATATGAAGACACAATATATAGTTATTCCAGTTGAAATAGTTGTCTTACCAGAGAAGAAAGAATAGTGAAGTATATAATAAATTCCTGAGATTTTTTAGTATGCAAAGGTATTCATATGGAAAAGGCCCAAAGAACCATATATCTTGCATGCATATTTTATGTAGACAGCACCTACTTAAGTATTCCCAAGAACAAACTTTTGAGGTATTGTTGCCAGTTTTTCTTCTTGAGGATGTATGTAGAGCTTAAGTAATTTGGCCAAGTTCATTGAGCTAGTTAGTAGCAGGGCTGGAACTTTAACCCAGTATGTCTGGCTCAAGGTCTCACAGTACTAACCCTACTGCTTCTTGTATCTGTGATGTAATTAGCATACCTGGGTGATTGAAACAAAAGATTTGCAAGAAATGTTTCAGCTGGAGAATTTTTAGTAACCTGGCTATTCATACCCTGTGGTGAGTTGATTTTCTTAGACTACCTAGAAAAGCTTAGTAATTATTATTTGACACTGAACAAAAGGAGCAGTGGCCCTCAAAGCCGGTTAAGCAGCTGCGCCTTCTGCTCCATCTACCTTTTTGTTGGGATTTCATGGTAATTTAAGTTTTGGGTAAATTATGTGCTAAATATGCCATGGGTCTCTCAGAACATAGAAGATAGCATAGCAAAGTAAGAACAGAACCACGTGTTTGTTTCATAACTATTTGTAAACATAATGTTGTGCTTTAATAAAGTAAGCCTTTTTACTTTCAGGATTCTTCTCCCTCCCCCACATCTAGAAAGTGATTTACATACTTTCTTGTACATTTCTCTAGGAGTGGGGCAAGTTTTCAAGTTTACCCTAATTCAGCTTTTGCTCTACTTGTTTCCTGCTTGTTCTTCCAGGAGATCTGTTCGTAGCATGACTTTAAACTTTTATCCACGTGCTATTTTTAAATAATTGAATTTTTGTGAATTGTGTATATATTTTAGTCATATTTAGACCTGTCCCCTATCTGCACACCTCTTATAGTTGCCCCCTGACTGGTTTTCATGTACGCTGTCATATATATGAAGACCTTTCCAGCAAAGTTTGTGTTCCCAAATGTCTTTCAGTGTGTATCCATCCTCTGAAACCTTGTAAACCTGTCTAACATCGCATCCTCAGAGAAAACCAACTCTCCCTCTCCCAGTAGTTATCAGTTGCCTATAGTTCCTCAGCTGAAGTTGGGGCTTATTATCCCCTTACCCATTTCTATACTGGGATTTTGTCTGACTTAAGCTTTCATGGGTCTTGTGCATGCTGTTACCATTGCTCTAAGTTCATATGTTACCTTCCCTGCTGTCTGGAAAACTGGTTCCTTATAGTCCTCCACCACCTCTGGCTCTTAATAGTCTTTCCGCCCCCTTTTCTGCAATGGTCCCTGAGCTCTGGGTGGCCCAGGTTTGATGTAGATGTTCTATTCAGGAAGAAGCACTCTGCAGTCTCTTGTTCTCTGCACTTTGTCCAGTTGTGGTTTTCTGGGTTAATCACCATCTGTTGTGTGAGGAAGCTTCACTGGTGAGTGTTGAGAGGTGCATTAATATTCTTTTTGCCCCATGTACTGATATGTTCCTGAGCCTTAGGTATAGAGGTTGCATTGTAGATGTGTCACTTAGGGCTGGTCACAGACACTTATTTTCTGGTTTGATCAGTTGTTGAATTTTGTAGTAATCTCCATGTATTGCAAAAAGAAAATAAAAGTGCCATTACTGTACCTGTAGAGATTATTTGCTGGGCTGGTCATTGTTGTGGTTCTCTTTGAAGTTTGCATACTGTTACTATGAGAGCTAGTCTTCAAGAAGGAGGCTTCCAGATCATTTCCAGCTAGATTTTTCCAAATTTTGTGTCCGAAGTCTGTCCTGTCTTCAGCAATTGGGTCTTAACCTTCAAGTTCTGGGAGGCAATCAAGGGCTGTGGCGATAGCCTGAGTTATTTTGAGACTCTCTTGGACTACCCTGAACAACAGCTCAAAGGGAGGTTTCCCTGGCCTAGCACTGTCATTTTTGATATATTGCCTTCAGCTATACACATACACTCATATAAATATAAATTAATGTATTTTAATATAAAAATATGTATGTTTTCCCATAGGCTTTTGGACATTTCCTTCTAGTTTTTATTTGTCTCTCTCCCTGTATAACCCTCCCTATTCATCCCTTCCCCCGGATTAAAATATCCTCTTATTTTCACCATCTCCCCCTTGATAACACCTGTCTTCTACTATCCCCCTCTCTTGAGCTCCTTCTTCCCCTATACCATAATGGTTCCTTCCATTTTCCTGGCTCTTGTGGTTACATCAGGATATATGCTCACATCTAAGAATTTGGAGCTAAGATCCACAAATGAGAGATCTTTCTCTTATTTATCTGAGACTGTTACTTCACTTACTATAACTCTAACCCTAACCCTAACCCTAAATCTAATTTTAACTCTAGCTGTAGCTCTAAAACTAATGCTAACCTTGACATTGACCCTGCACCAAGCCCGGTTACCCTAACATTAGTCCTAGCCATAACCCTAATCTGACCTTGACCTTTGAACCTTATCCTAACCTAAGCACTAATCCTATACTTAACCATAGGCCTAGTCCTAACCTTAACTGTAACCTAGGCTCAGCACTAGCCCTAATCCTAACTTGAACTATAACCTTAACCTAACTCTAGTCAAGGGCCTAACCCTAACCCATACCCTAGTCCTAGGTCCAACTGTAATCCTGACCCTGATGCTGACACTGAGTAGGACCCTATACCTAACACTAATATACCTAACCACAGCACTACTACTAACTATAAGTGTAACTCTAAACCTAACACTAGCTCTAAGGCGAAACCTAACCCTCACCCTAGCCCTAGAACTAGTGCTCACACCCTAACCTGATCCTGACTCTAACCCTGATCCTAACACTAATCCTAACCCTATCCCTAACACTAAGCCTGTCCCTAACCCTAGCCACAGAATAAGACCTAACCCTAGAACTCGCCCTAACACTAACCTTGAAAATTTTAAATTTAATTTACAGTATTAACAGTCACTGCTTAGCAGCTTGTCCTCATCACTGTATTAGGAAGGTCAGGGGAAGAATAGAATAGAAAGTAAGGTTGAAGGAAAGAATGTCACAGAAAAGTTTAAAAAAGATCGTAGTACCAAATAACAAATGTTCAAATACATCATTTTCAAGATTTTCATTTACTAGATGTAAAATTTTTAAATGCTTGAGTTTTGTTAAAAATTGTAATTGTGGGATTAGGGGAGGGACTTTATGGTATACCTCAATGTACTCATGCACTCACTGATGGAGTGCATACTTAGCATTTATGAAGCCCTAGGTTTAATCCCAGGCACCAAAAATACAATAGTCAAAAAGTCTCTGACTGAAACTAATTTTTTAATTTACCCAGAAGCATAAGTATCAGTTGGTTAGAGAAAATTATGGCTTCCCATATGAAGGAAGAATGGGCCAAGAGGCTGCATACTAGTATAGTACAGCATCATTGACTTGCTTAGCATCCAGGCACATGTGTAGCACGTGTTCAGTTGTACTTAGTGTTGGTCTTTACTCAGCTTTGCTTAATATTTGATATCCTATAGAAATTTAAACATAAACGTATTTTACTTTATTGGTAAATAGTGTCCATAGCATATAGCCAAAGCACAGTATGGATTTAGAGAATGAGCTAATGAATCTTAGCCAGACGACAGCAGGGGCTTAGCATCTTATGGTAAGAACAAGAAACATGAGACAGAAAGATTATAGGCCCTGCATGTTTTACAGTGGTGAGCTCTTTCACAAAATTGGTCCCCTTCACCTTTGAACCTTATCCTTCCTTTTCAGCTTGCCTTTCTCTAATTCTACTATAGCTGAAAAAAGCACTTACATACCATACACAATGAAAGCCATGCTTTCCCATCCTGACATCTATGCAGCATTTCTTTAGAATGTCAGAATCCCCATATGTCAGAGACTTGGGATGTCTGTGTCAGGGTTTAGAAAGTTAGTGTGAAATTCTTTGACAACTGAGATGTTTTCCAAGGATTGATTTCAGCAAAATAAGAAGCCCGAAGAGAATTCCTTAAAATATTTTTGTGATGGATCAGTAACAGATTTGAAGACATAACTCAGAAGAATTCAAGGAGAGAAACGTGGCAAATATTTTTAATTTTATAAAATGTATTTGAGGGGCTAGAGAGATGACTCAGCAGTTAAGAGCTTGTATGTGTATAATGTATTGCCTGCGTGTATGTAGGTACACCAGTGTCATGTAGTGCCCACAGATATCAGAAGAGAGTATCAGATTCCCCTGGAACTGGAGTTACGGACAGTTGTAACCACTGTGTGAGTGCTGACTCATTATTAGATAACTTTTCATCCAGTTTGGAGCATAAGAATGTGAGACACATTCATAAAATTTGTAGTGGCTTTCCCAGATTGCACTTTGGGGTCTGTCTTAAAGCAGCAGTTTCCAGAGAGTGGAGAACAGAGGCCATCGTATCACCTGCAAAGAGTAGAAATGAGAACTTCAGGCCCTGGAGCTGTGGAGATGGCTCAGTGGGTAAAAGCACTTACGCACAAGCCTGACCTTGGTTCAGATCCCTGGAACCCATGTAAAATACTGGATTTAGTAACGCACTTCTGTAATCCCAGCACTCCTAGGGCAAGATGGCAGGCAGAGACAGGAGAACTGCCTGAGTTAGGGCCAGCTAACCTGGAGGACCATAGTGCAGCCTCAAAAACAACAGAGACACTGCCTTAGGTAAGGTAAATGGAGAGTGAGAGCTGACTCCTGAGACCTCCACGTGGACACTTTAGCACATGCCCGCCTGCACCTGTGCACATACACACATCTTCATATACACATAAATAAATCACCAGTTTTCTTAAAAAAAGAATTCAGAGCCAGGCCTGGTGGAACACGCCTTTAATCCCATTAAACCCAGCACTCGGGAGGCAGAGCCAGGCGGATCTCTGTGAGTTCAAGGCCAGCCTGATCTACGTAGTGAATTACAGGACAGCTGGGGCTACAGAGAGATCCTGTCTCAAAAAGACCAAAAAAAAAAAAAAAAAAAAAAAATTTCAGATCCTATCCTGCTGACTCGGTAACTCTAAGCCTAATCAACCCAGCAACCTTGTGTTTTTTTATAGTTCCATACTGAATACAGAAGTTCATATTCTATAAAGTAACTAATGGGGATGCTCCATCATAGTAAGCAAAGGAGAAAGCAGTTCGCCTTGTAGGTGTAAATTGAAATTCACATGGCACACATGAGTCGCAGGTGTCACATTCCATCCAGCCATTTCTCACATAGCAACTCCAGACTGGGTAGCAGCTGGAATTTATTTAATTGACCATGGTTAATGAGGCTCCCAAATAACTCAGCCAGAAAGGTCAGCTAGTAAATAAATTAAATGTTTCCTGCTGCATCAGCTGTTGGTTGTTGTGAGCTTGTGATTGTCAAGAGACCTAACTGTTGGATGGAATGCAAATCTAGGAATGTAAAACTGCCAGGGAGTCCATCAGTGATCTTTTAAGTCGGCCTTGGATCTGTATCATGTGAGCCACTCTTCGCCTCATTAATTTCATTACGGAGGAGTTCACTGTAGTTGGCTTTTCAGACCTTTTATCTTCATCAGAGGAAAGCTTAGTACTCATTCCTTCAAACACATTTTTTTGTGATAGTATTTTCCCTTCTAATACAAATAGTTCCTGGCTTTAGATTTGTTCTTTAAGGAAAACACTCCTTGTGCAAATACTGATAGACAAAAATGTATTTTTCCTGAATTTTATATAATTTTTATATATTTGTATATGCTTGAGCCTGCTTGAATTTATGTGCAACGTGTGTGCAAGAATCTTAGTTAATCAAAAGAGGGTGTTGTATCTCTGGAAACTGGAGTTACAGGCAGTTGTCATCTTCCATGTGGGTGCTGGTAACCAAACCTGGGTCTTCTGTAAGAGCAGTATGCACTCTTAACCACTGAGCCGTTTCTCCAGTCCTGAAAAAAGTACTTTTTGAAGCAAACACAGTTACTTAACTTCTATGCAGGTGGTGTTTGGAGAGCAAGATTTTCTGTAAGGGCTATTGAGGCTGAGCTAAGTCAGGTGTTCCTCTCAGGTGTACAGTTGAGGCTGGCAGGCTGTAGAGCTCACAGGATCCACCTGTCTGCCCCCACCTCAGTGCTGGGGTTACAGGCATGCATAGCCATGCCCAGCTTTTTTTTTTTTTTTTTTTGAGAGTTGATCTTTTTTTATGTCATGGAGTATATAGAAATAGTCCTCACGCTGAAGCAGAAAAGATCTTCATTCATTCTCTCTCTCTCTCTCTCTCTCTCTCTCTCTCTCTCTCTCTCTCTCTCTCTCTCTCTCCTCTCTCTATCTCTCTGTATATATGTGTGTGCGTGTGTGTAGAGTACATAGGTGTTCCTATCAGCTTGTGTATGCGTGCATGATGGTGCATGTGTGTCTGGTGGTCAGAGGTTGATACTGGGCTTTGTCCCTAGTTGCTCTACAACTTATTTTTTGAGACAGGATCTCTAATTGATCCTAGAACTCACTGATGAAACAAGGCAACCAGCCAGTGAGCTCTAGGGATCCTGTTGTCTCCACCCCCAGTTCTGGAATTACAGATATGCACCACTGCACTTGGCTTTTATGGGTGGTACTGAAGTCCATCATGATGCAGAGTTAATACGTGCTCTGGAATGTGTTATTGAATATGTTAAAGCTGTAGTGAAATGCTGCTTCTAATCATGTGGTTATTTTTAAAAAAATGATAAAAAATATTAATCTAATAAAGATGCCCCCCCCCAAGATAAATGTTCTGTGCTCTGAATGTTTAGTCCATTAAAGAACTGGCTTTCCTCCTTGCTGCCCTCTCTGGTATCATACCAACCCTTGATGCTCTGTCCTGACATTGCTACTGATAGAATGCTAAACTCCAGACTTGAAATTTTTATATGGGTGCTGGAGATCTGAACTCAGGTACTCAATGCTTACAGAGCACCTGCTCTTACCCACTGTACCATTTCTCCAGCCCCTTGGAAATCTTAATATTTTAATCAAAATTCAAGTAAGCTATAATGAATAAAATACTTTTCGGTAAAGACAGGTTTATAACAGTGCATAGGTGGGCCTTGTTGCAGCTTTGTAAGGCAAAGAGAAGTTTAGGAAGAATGATTCTGTATTAGTCAGATTTTTTTTTTGTTGTGACAAAATAGCTTTTACAGAAAAGTTAAGGAGTGAAAAATTGATTTTGTTTATGAATTCAGAAGTGTCAGTCCTTGGCAGGGAAGGCTTGGTGGAATAGAGCAGCTTACATGGGGGCCAGGAAGCAAAAAAGGGTGGGAATACAGGAGGAGGCCAGGGCAAAATTTCCCTTCTGGAAATGTAACCCCAGTGGCTCACTTAGTCCAGCTAGGCCCCCTTCCTGCTTTTCATCACCTCAATTATGGCATAATAATATGAACCCATCAGAGAGTAATCTGTTGATAGGTAAGAGCCTCAGGATATACTTATCTCTGGAAATGCCCTCATGGACACATCCAGGGTGTGCTTTACTAATTTAGTTGTTTCTCAACCCAGTCACATTGACAATCAAGATTAACCATTACAAGTCCTGTCTGCAAAACACAGGTAAAGGAAATGCAAACCTAGGATCATAATTACTCTGTTAACAATATAAAATGGTGTTGGTTCATAATACTGATAGTCATTTGTCTCTCTTTCTGTTTTAGGAATGTACTAATATCGCCATCATTGTGGCAATATGCCATCCTCTTCAACCGATTCAATTACCCATTTGAACTGGAAAAGGATTTACTCTTGAAGGGCTATCACACACTCTTTCAAGGATCTTTACCCTCTTATCCTACATCAGTGAAGTGCTACCTCAGCAGAACTCCTAACCGAATGCCTTCAGAAAGACACCAGCTTGGACACTTGAAAAAGTACTACCTCCTAAATGCTGCTTCTCTTTTCCCAGTACTGGCTCTGGAACTGAGGCACGGGGAGAGTGTTCTGGACCTGTGTGCTGCCCCTGGGGGCAAATCGGTAGCTTTGCTGCAGTGTGCTTGTCCAGGTAATGCACTGTCCTCTTAGGAACTTGTGGTTGCTTTGTACCTGGATATTTCAAACACTGAAAATATATGAAGAGAAATGTGAGACAGTTTTTAGAAGTTAGGATGCCTGAAAACCAAGACACTGAGTAAGAATGGAAATCATAGTTGAGGAACTTAGTGTAAAAAGCATCACATGCCAACTTTGGGATTAAAACTAGATTTCATAAATGCAGATCTGTTAGATAATATGAGTACTGATAAGCCAATTATAGAGGATTTTTAAAATTTTTATTTTTTGCTTTCGGTGACTATTTTTGCTGGAGTTAGAATCTGGGACTTTTCTTAGGCTCAGCAAATACTCTACCATTGAGCGGCTTGTATTGATGCCATTGTCATACCTTTTAAAAAAACTGAAATCATTTTACTGTGTCATTAGGCCATAGGGTTCTAAAGCTGTTCTGTTCAATAGATACATAATGTGAAATATATATGTATTATACTACTTTCAGATAGTCTCATTTGAAAAAGTAGAAAGAGGTAAAATAAATTTGAAGTTATTCAGAGAATTGGGGTAAAACACCCTTGAGCACATAATCCAATAAAAATGTTTGAGATGTTTATATTCTCATTTTCTTAGAAGTCTTTGAAATTATTTTATTCTCTGAGTATATTTCAAGTACTCACAACCACATATGACAAGAGAACAAATACAGTATTAATGCAATAAGCTGTTTTGTAGTGACTTTATTATTAGTAGTAAAAAAGTGGTACAGTTTTATAAATTGAGTTATTCTAAAATAATAATTCTGCTTTATGGGAAATAGCAATGTTGCTTATTCTGAGCCAAATATAAGTGACTTTGGCTTGGGAACACAGTGAATGACATGTTCACCATAGAAATGATTATAAGAGCTTTTCTAGTCATGAAGCAGAACATCATAAATCAGTGCATTGATTGATCAGTTAGGTTGTGGGTGTGTTCAGAAGGAGGAACACAGACAAGTATAGAGGTCATGACAGGATTCAGTATTGTGTCCTTAGTGATAGGCTTCATGGAGCCTAGAGGCCTGTCAGACTTAAGAATACATTCAGAGAGTTTTATCTAGTATTCAAAAAGACAGATTAGATGTAGAGGTTGATAGTGAATGGCTCTTTTTAAAAGGAGCTAGATGTGGTTTTGGCTTTTGATGTATAACAAATTCCATCTCTCCACATTTAAGACCTTCTAGTGAGACAGTCTAGTGAGTCAGACAGTCTGAGCTCTTCATTATAGATCTTGTTTCTTCATACAATTTTATTTACATTTTTTAAAACAATAAGTCCATGGACTGGGGATATGTCTCAGTACGTAAAGAATTTACCATGCAAACATGAGAACCTAAGTTTGGATCCCCAGAACCCACATTAAAAGAAATTGCTGGGCATGTTGGGTTTTGCTTGTAATCCCAGCATTGAGGATGTAGACACCCGAGAATCCCTGGGGCTTGCTGGCCAGCTGCCCTTGCCCCAAGTTCAGCAAGTGACCCTGTATCAAAAAAATAAGATGGAGGGCGATAGATGAAGATACTTGACATCAGCCCCTCGCCTCCCTCCCTCTTGCCACATATACTCAGCCACATACACATATGCACCTGCATGAACGTGCACACTCACATATATCACACACATGTACATGCACACACAAAATAAGTATTTTACTGTAAATTATTTTCTTAATGATATAGGTAATCCTTTTGTTAAAATACAGATTTTTTTGGATGATATTATTGCAGGCTGAGGCAGAGGTCAGCATCGATTCTGTTTGGTTTTTCTATGATCTTAATAATCATTGTTCACACCGTTAAGAATTTAGAAATAGTGAGTGCTGTATGACTATTGTTTCATTGGTTCTTTATCCTCCTTCTGGGTTAGAACTGTAAGCCACCAGGTATATCAGGCATTGTTTCAGTGATCTCTTAGGTGAACACTCTTTAAAATTTGTTTTTACCTTCATCAGAGTATGTGCAAAGCCATTTCAATTACCTGCTAAGTTGTTACACTTATCTGCCAACTAAGAAACTAGTGTTATAACCTGTACCATTTTGATGTTCTGGAGATTTCTAAACCTGGCATAATTTACCTTCAGAGACTGGATGAGTGGGAAGCTTGCTTTTGTTTGTAAAATTGGTGAAATGCTATTTGGAAGGAGTTATCTTTAGGAAGTTGATGATCCGAAAGTGATTCTTTTAGACTCTCCAAAGGTACTGTTTTCCCCCAGGATATGCATGTTCCAGTTTGAAGACTAATTTATTTTTCCTTTCAGAACCATTTACTGTTGAAGTAGGTTTTTAAAAAATGAATCAGTTGTCCTTGGCTTTGGTACAAATACACAAGGTTTTTGTTTTTCTTTGTAAATATACAATTAACTTAGAGTTCTGATAAAAATCTGTGACTGAAGCTTCTTGTATTTTAGTGAAAGAAATAAAACAAGATTTATTAGTACAGTTCTCTTATTGTTTCAATAATTGAGCTGAGGTTTTACGGAATTATGTGTTATCAGGAATATTTATTTTACACTCACTTTTTCTATGTTCCTTGACAGTGTTCCTATATTGTTTCTTATAAGCTTATTAATGCTAGGTATAGAATTTTTAGTATTGTAAAAGATAGATGAGAATTACTGAATTCTGGTACTATTTTGACAAGATGGTATTTTAATCTCAAATCACCTTCATTCGTAGACTATAAATATTTTACACATTTGTGGTGGGGAAGGTGATTTGCTTAGGGACCCAAAGTCAAATGGATACATTCTAGGAGAATGTGGGGGAGAACAAGGCCAGTGAACTACCCAGCAGTGTTCCAAGTGAAATAGCTTTTCATCTAAGTAGGACTAATGTTAATGGTTCGCTCTGAAGTACTAATGTCTTCATGCTGATGCTTAAACCCCTATTAAGCTAGCCACAGTGTTCAGATGTGGAGTGCAGAAGCAGCACTAAGTAGTGTTTTTATAAGCAAAACTTAAAATGATGGCCACAAATAGTACAATTTATACACCAAATTTCTTTACACTGGTACTGAACATTATTCTAGGCAGTGAGGGTCATAACTTTGAATGATGCAAAAGCTTATGGTTTAGGGTAATTAAAAAATTAATAACTCTCTTGGAAAGTCTTTCCTGAACTACTTGTGTTAGGTGTATCCTCTTTTGGGTGGTAAAAATGATTATTTGGAACACATATGCCCCGGGCTGTGTTGATCACATTGCTTTTCAAATATGTTTTGTCATCTGTGTTTCTAACATTTTCTGTATGTATATTCAAATCTAAACTTCCAAGGGCTTAGAGGAACCTTGTGTGACTGGCTGGACTATATGACCTCAGGTACCTGCAGTGCTGTTGAGCTGGTGATTATTAACTGCATTTTATAGACAAAGTTAAGACAAGGGAATTAAATAAATTGCTTAAGGTAAATGGCAGAGCTGGGAATCTAGATTTTCTTTGTTTTCTTGCCACAGACCCTGTTCTGCGGCTTCCGTGAAACTGCACTCCTGATTTGTAGGTAAGCATAGGGTCAGGCTCTTATTTGCCTTTTTATCTGTAGCAACTAGGACTGTGCTCAGTAAACTTGAACCTTTTATTAAAGTGGTTTTTACTCTCAAATGTGTTTTAATCTAATGTCTTCTAAATTTTCGACAAACTCAGCTTTGCCATTTTGTACTTTTGTGAATTTATAACATTGTTTCTGGATAGCACAAACAACCTTACAGTATACCTCTACAAGGCACCATAGACCTCCAAGGCTCATGATGAGCAGCATGTGCTTATGGAAAGTGTACACTTTTCAGTCCTAACTGTAGCAAGGTAGCTTCCTATTAGATGCTCTCATTGGATGGGCTCAGTGTCTCCTATTTCTGAGTTTGCTAGAAATTACAAAGATCAACCTGAAAGTTTTACAGGTTAAGCAAAATGCTGGCAGGAAAAGGCCAGCATTAGTATCCAATTTGTCTCCAAGTTTCCCATTGTCTGTTAGATTTTGGTAACTGAATATATGGAGTTTTTCAGGGCTAGAGAGATGGCTCAGTGGTTAAGAGCACTGACTTGTTCTTGCAGAAGACCTGGGTTCGAATCCCAGCACCCACATGGCAGCTAACAGCTGTCCGTAACTCCAGTCCCAGGGGATCCGACAGCTTCTTCTGACCACTGCGGGCATTGCAGGACACAGGTGCACTTACCTACAGGCAGGCAATACATGCATACACATAAAATAAAAATAATAAAATTTTTTTTTAAATGAATTTTTCTTTAAATACTATAGCTTATATTTTTAGTTTTCTACAAAAGTGTTGGTTAAGAAACCTCATCTGTAAAAGCAGAGGAAATAAATCCTAATCATTCTCTATCTGGCACCTCTAAACTGATCATCCACTGTCTGTACATAGATGTGCACATGAGATGTGACTGATCTGGCCTGAAACATTTAAATCACTGTTAAGGAAGTTCCCAATTAAGTATAGCTGTATACTTCATTGCTATATTATTATTTTGCTTAGATCTGTAGATTTCATTGACATGGCCTTAAGTTGGTTATATTTTTTAGATGTGGAGTATAAAATGTTATATGTTTCATATATACTCACATAGATCTACACAAACTACAGAAAATTAATTTCAGTTATATCCAAATTTCATCTAATGAGGAACACAGGTAAAAAATCTAACAGATCCCTGAAAAAGTCACTGGTGCTTTAGCATGCTGTAACAGTTTCTTTCAACTTGACACAAATGTAGATATATCCGGGAATATGGAATCTCATTTGAGGAATTTCCTCCATCAGATTGGTCTGTGGGGGGTGTTTTCTTGATTGCTGATTGTGTGGGTGGACCCAGCCTACCATGAATGGTATCATCTGGAGACAGGTGGGCCTGGGCTGTAGAAGATAGTAGCTGAGCAAGCCAAGGGAAGGAGGCCAGTAAGCAGCTGCTCCATGGTCTCTGCTTCATTCAGTTCCTGCCTCCAGGTTTCTGCCTTGACTCCCCTG